TATTATTGTTTTCGCCATGATGGCCAAACTCAGCATCAACGTTCAAGTGAGCAGACTGAGAGTTTGACATTCTTAGGTAGGTCTGAAATTAAAATCTCAAAGAACAAGCGTAAAATATGGTGTGTTATGGAAATTTATATCAAACTACCACTATTATCCTTAGCCCCACGGTGGGCGCCAAATTGTTTACCCTTAAAAATAGATAACAGTTGAATTTATATGCGGTTTAAGGATATATAGACTAATTCAATACAAGTTATTAATGACGTCAGATGAACAAATTAAAGATAGAATAAACAATCAAACCAATAGTAGTATTGAGTTTGGGCTCGGTTATGAGCTTAACAAGTAGCCTGCCTTTGGTTCGGAGCCAAACACTTATGAAGAACTATGAGCAAAATTAAGAACTTTGAATAACTTTTAGAAACAAAGAAAACATATGTATATTGCCTTGGTACGCATGTTACAGAGTATTTATTGAATAATAAACTTCCCCTTTATATAGTAGGGGAGTTTTACCCTAAGTACAATTAAAAGGAAGGTAAAGACCTTCCTTTTTGCTAATCACTGATTTGTTGCCGATACGTGCCGAGATTCACGCCGTGATATCTGGCTGGGCACGAATATCATGGACCGTTGGTTAATCGTGTGTGGATGTTTGGTAATGCTTCCCAAGGTCTACTCGAACCGGATCGGGGGAGTGTGATCTCGATGGTTCCGAGGGCAGGTGTTTTGTTCGGGCCTTGATACGAGAGGCTCCCAGCTTCGATTTTGATTCCTCATAGTTACGTCCTTGCTTCATTTGCCCCACCAGGATATCAGGGTGATCATTAGCCTCGGTTTTACCCGTATACAATGTTATGTTATAATATATATTTTTATAATAGCACCTCATAATAGCAGCCAAAAAATATCGAGCAAACGAGACTGTTATAGAAAGGTTTGACTGTAATAAGTTAAGCTCAGAGATCATAGTGAATCGTCTTACACTATCGGCTCTATGCAAGGTCTCAATTACCCAGTTGACGTCCTTTCCTTTAAAGGATTCAACTGTCATACCCACAAGACACATTTTACGCATGTGAACCATTTACAACTATTTGGAATCAGTTTTAATTTGAATTGCTTCAACTGTTAATCATGACACAAGTTTTAGTCTCCAAACTTAGGGTGTGTTTGGTATTAGGAAAATATTTTTCACATAAATATTTTCTGAAAAAATACTTATTTTCTGATATTTGGTTAGTAAGAAAAAATATTATATCAAAAGCATTTTTAAATAATCTAGGAACTCACAGTAGGGCGGGTGGAGTCTGATTTCGGTATCTGAGGTCTGCTCCGAGGACAGACAAGGGTCGGTGTCTGATGTGATTCTTCGAGTTAACAAAGAACCAACCGACCAGGATCAAGATCTTGAAACGAAAATATGGTTTGTGGGTCGATTTCAAGAAACAACATATCTCAAGTTTTAGGACTCAGAATCTAATGATTCAAAAACGAGGTGAAATATGACGATCCGAACTATAAGAAAGACTATTTACTCATTTAAAACAAGTAAATAACGATGTTGCACCAGTTTAATGATAGTTATGATTCTATGATATCAAAAGAACGAATTGAGATCAAGAAACGTGTTTTTGAAAAATCAAGAACAGAACAAGTTCCTAAAGTCACCACTTGAAATCAATTAACGTGATAAAGAAACACCACATAAAATTAAAAATAAGATAAATACTATCACCACCTTGCTTGGAACCAAAAACAAAGATAAAGAACACAAAATAGAGAAAAATACTCTATTATAAAACTAGGCAAACCTAAAAAACGTGAATTCTTTTTTTGCAAGGCAAGAGAACCTTTTATACAGGCCTAGAGTCTCTTCTTTGATGACTACAATTCTTATTCTAATATGGAAATAAAATAACTAAAGACAAGGAAAGTAAAATCCCTATTCTACAAGGAAAAGAAATTAGAATCCTACTAAAAGAAAAATCCTTATTCTAAAAGGAATACAATAAATCCTAAAGAATCTTGACTTCTTGAAATCAATCTTGAGCTTCTTGGACTTCTTTCACTTCTTGAAAATAAGTCCATATGTTTGGACTTTAGCTCTAAAATATGATCTTTGCCATAATTAATAAAATTTAATATAGATTCTTCGTTTACATCATTCTCCCCTAGTTGAGAAGGCTCGTCCTCGAGTCTAATGGCTCCACAAATGGCACAAGATTGACAACTTCCATAATATGATTGAACTCATATTCACCATGCTCTAAGTTGCATTTTTCTAACCTATCAAAGAGCTTCATCGTATTGTAACAAAGTTTAGCATGTGGCCGAGCTAAATCCCACTTTCTCAATCGTATCTTTGTACTAATATTTCTACAATGAATCCTCTTAAATCGATTTTTAAACACTAATCCATAATCATAAGTTATTTTCTTTTGATCTTCAAGAATCCTGGTCTTTTTCATATCAATGTGGTACTTATGGGATATGTCCAAAAAAGTCGATTTAGTACCACAAAAACTTTTAAAAGAATCAAATTCAAGTACCTTTAGATCAAGCTTTGAGATTGAAGTATATCTTCTTGAGAATTCATCAGTAACAATGCTCTCATATTTTACTAGATCATAACCATATATGGAATTTGTGTTGAGATTTTCTGTTCCAACATATTCTTGAAAATATTCATCCTTTGGAGGCAGGAAAAAAGCTGGAACAAAGTATGAACTCAAACCCTCCATAATAAAATCCTTTTTAAGCAACCCTTCCTCTTGTGTTTGTAAAATTTCATGAACCTTTGCATTAACGAAATATGTTGCCTCTCTTGGAATGATAGAATCAACAATCAAATCAATATTATGTTGAGCATCTCTATTTTTTTGGAAAGTTAAGATCATATATGGGATGCTCCAACGGATCATTATCAAACTTCAGAGGTAAATCCTCAATTTGTGGATCTAGTGCATGCTCCTCCTCCTTGTGCTCTTCCATGGTAATACCAACATTCAAAGACTTTTTCTCTATTGATTGGACCAATTGTTTGTAATTTGGTCACAAAAGAATCATCCTTGGGCTTCAGATTTTTAGCAACTTCTTCGGGATTCAATGGTACTAAAATAATCTTACGTTCATCCTTTGTAAAAGAATATGTCTGCATCATATTTAGCACACCTATCATACACTTATGGTCTTCCAAGTAATAACTGACAAGCATCCATCTTCACTACGTCACACCAAATCTGGTATTTATAGACCTTGTCAATAGAAAAGAGACTAGGCATTGACGAGTTACCTCTACACCATCATTATCTTCAACTTCGTTGCTGTAAGAATATGGATGAAGTTTGGTTGACAAGCCAAGATTTGTAACCATCTCTTCAGAAACGATATATATGTGACTCCCACGATCAATGATCAACGAACTAATTTTTCCAAGGGAGGTACGTCTAGTGTGAAAAAGAGATTCATGTTGTCTCGTTTCTTCATCTTCTTGAACCAAAATTCTTTGTCTTGGTTGAATCTTAGACATGATGATTTTTCAACCTTTGGACCTGTGGGTTAGAGCTCTAATACCAAATTGATGTGATTCTTTGAGTTAACAAAGAACCAACCGACCAGGATCAAGATCTTGCTTGGAACCAAAAATAAAGATAAAGAAGACAAAATAGAGAAAAATATTCTATTGTAAAACTAGGCAAACCTCAAAAACGTGAATTCTTTTTTACAAGGCAAGAGAACCCTTTATATATGCTTAGAGTCTCTTCTTTGATGACTACAATTCCTATTCTAATATGGAAATAAAATAACTTAAGACAAGGAAAGTAAAATCCCTATTCTACAAGAAAAGGAAATTAGAATCCTACTAAAAGAAAAATCCTTATTCTAAAAGGAATACAATAAATCCTAAAGAATCTTGACTTCTTGAAATCAATCTTGAGCTTTTTGGACTTCTTGCGCTTCTTGAAAATAAGTCCATATATTTGGACTTGAGCTCTAAAATATAATCTTTGCCACAATTAATAAAATTTAACATAGATTCTTTGTTTACATGTGTCCAAAATGAAGGTCCGAGGTTCAAGATCGGGATCAGACATGGGGTTAAGTTCATGGAAAATATTTTATCAATCCAAACCAAATATTTTCATTCATACGGAACACACCTCCAATCCTCAGTCATTTTCCATTTCGGATACAAAAAGAAAATATCTTCTTGACAACCCCCCCCCCCCCCCGGGAAATACCCCTTTTGCGTAGTCTTTTAGAGCAAACTTTTTATACAAAGTTCTTTTAAAGTGTAGGAAAGAACATGTAATTATGATGACTAGCAAGTTTTTATTGTGGACAAAAAACAGTGAGAGTACTGAATCTTGGAGGGCCCTTTGCATTCGCACGCTTAATTATGCACTTCTTGCACCATATGCTTAGGTGGAATATTACCAATGGTGAATGCCATTCTTGCACCAAAACTCAAAATTATGATCATTTTGTTAAAATTAAACAACTTCTTTTCCAAATATCGAGTGTAGAGTTCCAATTGTTATAATTGCTTGTAATGGTCGACACTATCCCCACGGCCCACACCTTAAGAGAATAGATTTCTGGTCAAGATTCAAACTCTACACGTGATGTGAAGCGTGACCGCATATGTTAAATGTAAAGTCAAGTCTCAGAAGTCACTCGTAGTTCAAGGAAAAACATTCTCTATTCAATTATACTCTATGTTGAACGAACTCTTCATATTCGTATCGGATCCTTTAAAATTATACTACTTTTGAAAGATCCGACATGTACCCGTTAGTAGTTTTGATACCAACACAGATTATGCTACATAGTATGAATTAAAACTTAGCAGCAAATTGGAAGTTAGAAATAAACTTTTCAAATGACTCAAGTATGACAAAGAGGACAATTTGACTTTGAAAATTCTAACAGAACTGCCTAATGGGCCACGTTCTTTACAAATTCAAATATAACTTTGACACTATACGATAATATTCAACGAATAAACAGTTTCCCCTTTAATGATTCTGAATTCCACCCCATAGGACACTGCGAAAGTCATATTATTCTAAATATAGCAGTAAGCACCTGAGAATTGTTTCACAAAGTCAGCAATTGCATATGCATTATCATAACAAATTAAAGACATCAAAAATCAAAGTAAAAAGAAGGGATGTATGTCGCTTGGAATCTTCAAAAATGGCGCCGGACACGTTGAATCCTCCAAAAGTAGTGAACTTTTTGGATGATTCAACATGGGTGCGACAACATTTTTGCATAGTACGAGTAACATAGGAAGGGACTTTGTGTTTTCACCTGAGAGAAGGCAGCATTTTTGAAAGCCCTCCAAAACAATCTTGACAGACAGTGATGATCAAAGTGGCTACTGAATCTGAGATGCATCACATTTGAGCAAAAAACTATGGCACCAATTACAAAAACTAACAATATCCAAGCTTTTCTTGCCATGAAACTCTTAAATATGGAAGCAAAGCAAATAAAGACAATAGAACCAAGTTTAACGATTCCATCTTTGTCCCGTTGATACAGAGATTGAATGAAGAGGGCTAGGTTTCCTACAACCACTGAACTCTGAGATATCGTTGCCTGCATTAGAAAAGATAGAGATATACCATACTTTGTTAATTATTTAAGATAGCATGGAACATAAGGGGGTGAACAGAAAATTGAACACGGGAGGATATACAATGCCAAGTCAATCGCTCTTAATCGTTGATGAGGACGAGCAACGATGAGGACGCTCGTTTCATATTTTATTCAAACAAAACTCCTAGTATCTAGAGTTAGAAGTTTCATTAGAACAATACAAGATGAGGCTTTGTCAAGGCTAGTTTCATATTTTACTTGCGAGGTTGAGTAGTACTCGCCCCTCTCTCTAAAGGGGCTTGTGCATTTCACTCTAATGTCTACTAAAACGAGGTTAGAACGAGTAGATGAAGCCCTCAATTTAGTGGCTTCTTTGACCCTAATTTTTCATTTCCGCTTTAACTTCTCTGGTTTACGGAATAAATTAATTGGATATATAACCTCGAACAAGTTTCCAACTCAAAATTTTCTTGGAATTGATAAAACTTGTTCGATCCAAAGTGTTTCAAGCGGGAATCAATTGGGAGACCTATAATGTTTCATACCAACAGCTGCTATGACGATAGGTGTAGAATACTGCTTCACACACCACTACTACTTTATACAGTAGGGAAATAATTTTTTTATTTTTAATTTATAATGCTTCAACGATATACACGTAGTTAGGGGTGAGTATCGGTCAATTCTGTTAAGTTGTAAATATTATCGTTACATAACCGATAAGATATCAGTTATCAGGTATCGGTTAATCAGTTATCGATTGTTATCGGGTCGGTTATCGATTTACCCGATAAGATAACTTAATTTAGAGGGAAAAGTGTAGTGTATGATACTAATTGATCATATAACCTTGACCCTTTCAATTATATTCTAAATAGTGAATAAAAGTTTCGTGAACGCATGTCTACCCTCATCAAAAAGTTTGTTTAATTGCATACAATAACAAATTTTACTGAAATGTATTTCATATATTCACACAAGAATGAACATCAATGAGATTATGAAATAAAAGAGGATGACTTCACTATATTAACTTGCATCCTACCAAGACAATGACGGAAGAACTCATTATTATGTTTTCGGAAAATGGCCAAATATACCTCTGTATTATGAGAAAATGTTTAAATATAACCCTCGTTATACTTTGGGTCCAAATATACCCCTACCGTCATACAGTGGTTCAAATATACTCCTCTTCCATTAAGTTTGTCCAAAATGGATATCAAATCCTACGTGACACTAATATTTGATGAGGTGGATGCCACATGGCATGCCACCTCATCGCCCCTAACCCATTTTACCCTTCCCTTTAAATGTGGAAACTCAAACTTAGTCTCCTCCTTCAAAGAAAATGATAAATGTGACAGTTTTGATAACATGAAATACCTTTGTCTTTTTCTGCCATATTAACTGCAAAATTCAAAGAACAGGAAAGTTACACAACATCACAGAAACACCAGCGTGAAAAGACGGACAAATTTCACGTTACAATATAATTTAGTTGCTTGTCCTTCAAGGTATTGCCTTTTGTTTGTGTTGTAAAAGATTCAAAGAAAAATAAAGTAGCAGAAAACATGGAACACCCTAATAGAAACAAGCAAAACCAGTCGAAGGTGTTGTCCATAAGCAAGCTCAGTTCATTTCTGGGTAAGACATGTCCAAAAGTCAATTTCAAAGCCCTCAAGCGAAAGTTTTCCACCTAGTAATATCAGCTATCTGATTAATGATTATGAGCAGCTTGCTTTAAGGTTGTATTTGTCCAAAAACTCATCCCGCTACTTTTTTTAGTCGAGGATGGGAAGATTAGTGGTGGGGAGGGGTAAAATGGGTTAGGGGAGCTGAGGTGACATGCCAATCTCATCAAATATTAGTGTCACGTAGGATTTGATGTCCACTTTGGACAAACTCAACGGAAGAGGGGTATATTTGAACCAGTAGTATGACAAAGGGGTATATTTGGACCCAAATATAAAGAGAGGTATATTTAAACCTTTTCTCATAATACAGAGACATATTTAGCCTTTTTCCGTTAATTCTTTCATCAAACCCAACAATGTTCTATCGGAGAAGGGTCATATTTATCCTTTTATATTAAAAAATAAGTTATATTTACCCTCCGTTTGCTTTTTGAATATTCTTATCTCTATCGTTCTACTTTGAGTTTAAAATTACCCCTAGCCGTTAATCCACTTATCAACAACAACAACAACAATCCAGTATAATCCTATTTAGTGGGATTTGGGGAGGGTAGTGTGTACGCAGACCTTACCCCTACCCTGTGATAAAGAGGTTATTTCCAAATCCACTCATCAAAACATTAATAAATACACGTGGCACCCGCTGGTTGCTTAAAAAAATATCCACCCTACTACCTATTATTTCTAACCGACCCAAGCTTAAGACCCTACCCGACCCACACGAACCTCCCACTTGAATCCCCACCCACAATGCTAGAGAGCATGGAGTACATGAGAAGTCCCTTTATAATTCCATAACTGATTTTTGGGTCTCTGTATATATACTTTACTTATATCACAATATCACTTTATTTAATTTTTGTTTATTGCAAGATAAGTAGTTTTAATCACAAGAATTATAAGTTTTTCTATTACTATTATTTTCTTGCTAATGGAATTATGAGATCCATTCCAAAGGGGATGTGTCCTTTTCTTGGGAGAACAAGCCAGGGGTTAGTAAAGTTACACCAACAAACTTTTTTGCAACCGTTAGTTTTTCACTAATATTTTTACCATCGCTATGCCCGGTGCCGAAAGAAGCAAAGACTGCAGCATTCCATCACCTACAAATTCCTCATCCGCCGTGCACTTTTCAGCCGCCGCAGCTATTGAGAAGTTCACCTAGAAGGGGATTCAAGAAGCAAGATGATCCATTCTTGATGGGCTATAAAGAGTGCACAAAAAGCTCAAGGAAACTACACAAGTTTTTAGGTAGTTTAAGGATGATTATGGCCGTTGGGGGATGAAGAATAAGAGTAAGTGTTGGGGGATTTACGTGAAGGGGCTCGGTTGGGTCGGGTAGGTCTTGACCTTGGGTCAGTTAGAAATAATAGTAAGTAGGGTGGGTATTTTTTTGAGCAACCGGAGAGTGCCATGTGTCTTTTTAAAGTTCTGATGAGTTGATTAACGGCTGGGGTAATTTTAAACCCAAAGTGGAACGGTAGGAGTAAGAATATGCAAAAAGTGAAATTGAGGATAAATATAACTTATTTTTTAAAGTAGAGGGATAAATATGACCCTTCTCCGATGTTTTATTGTTTAAGAGGGAAATATTAAATGTATTGATACTATAAAACGCATTTATCCAACAATTGTAGCAAGAGCAATAACATATTCTCGAAAAGTAGCACGTGCACTCCGGGCTATTCGGGAGGATTTATTGGGAGGATCAATTAGCAGAACATACTTACCATTGGAAATATTAGACGACGATAATTACAAAAATCACTTTCATGTGTCTTTCTACTGTCCAAACACAGTAGAAACAACACAAAATAGTAGCAATTACATTTTGAAAATTAAGAAGTCCAAACATAGTACTAATAGACAACGAAGCCCTAAGGTGGCTTTGAATATCTAAGAGCATAATTATAATTTTGATAAAGCTTATTGGGTTATTGGTTAAACTATTAATAAAATTGGGCAAACTGACACCCAATCCGATAACCCAATAATCAAATAAGACAAAACTATTACGGAACAATTAACTCAATAACTCCATGCCGATAACCCAATAAGCTTTTACCCATATATGCCCAGCCCTAGACGTAATTCAAGTCAAGAAGCCATCATATCTTCCATGTTAATGGGATTATAGAAACGCATACCTTGTTCTTTGGTTTGGAACTGATCGCTCTACTATTGTTCTTGGAACGTCTTCGAATACGAAGTCTTTCAAGGAATCGATGGAGTTTCGATTTCAAGGATTTTGATTTCTGGGGATTTGGAAAGGTTGGTGTTTCAGATTTAAGATGGATCAAGAATCTGCAGTACTTGAACTTGAGAGAGAATGGGAAAAACTTGCAATTGGGTAAAAAGTTGGAGGCTACCAATTTGAAATCCAAGTTCTTGGCCTTGGCCTGCACATTGAGTTTCCATGAATGGCATTGCTGCCCTGCATCCATTCTCCCAGAGGCCAGAACTTGCTTTACTAGCCGTTACGGCTCTTTAAATCCATTTCTTTTTTCATTTTGTTTCGTTTGAGTAGTATTGTTTTAATTATTTAAGGAAGCATTTTAAAGATATACTACAACTAATATCCTGTTTCATTTGGCTTCCGGTGCAGTTAACTTTCTACTCTAAAATTACATCACAATTTATTAAGCTAAGTTATAATTAACAAATTACATACTGTACAAAATATTTAAAATGCACATTTGGTTTAGTGATGTGGTAGGATTAGGGCTGCAGAAATTGGCCCAAGCCCAAATGACCCCGCTCAACCCGCCCAAGGTTGGGCTGGTTATTATCCTGCCCATTTATTGAGCTTATCCCATCTTGACCCAACTTATTTAAAGTTGAACAAATTTTTAGCCCAAATTGATCCACGAGTAACTTTGTCAAAATCTCTTAGAAATAAATTATTTTGTTTGATATGTTATATATGACCATAACAAAAGAAAAAAAAAGTTAAGAAGAAAACACATATTAAGTAAAGTATGAAAAGAGTTGGGCGGGTTGGGCTATGACCCGAATTTAGCTCATTTTGACTCAACTCATCGTATCCCAAGTAACTTTTGAGCGGGTCATTTGACCCGTTTAATTATTGACTCAATCTATTTTGACCCGTTCAAAATCGGCTCAACCCGCCCATTTAACACCCCTAGGTTGGATGATTGAAATTATTTCAACTTTAATAAGAGATTTTGATAATAGACTATAGTTGGGTGAACGGGCAATGCCTTTAAATACCTGACGCAAATCCCTGGACCAATGCCTGGGCAATGCCTTTGTTGGAGCTATTGCTCTTTTGATGACTCGAACCTACAACCCTGAGATTGTAGGTGGAGATGTTGACCATCTGAGCAACCTCCTCTTGTTGACGAATGAACTTGGGAAACCGAATCACTAATAAAAAATATTCAAAATGTGGTATTCATTATTTTGCAGGTTTATTGCGAATATACCTATTTCTTAGGATTCAATGAATTTTATCCTCTTTACTCCTTTTATTGGAACTACGGTCACATGTATTGATTGTGGAGTTATCAAGGAACTAATGATTGTTTTTTCGAGTTGATTGCTCAAACTCTTTCACATTCATACCAAGGCTGAATAATATGCAACGCGTTTGTTCAATTTGAGTAGTGAATTGGAATTTGTTGAAAATTGAAACCAAAGCTTCATGATATGTTAAATTTTTTAGAAGGTTCCCTATGTTAAGATATTAGATGGCTCTGAGCTTCAAAGAACAACCATCATATGATATAGCTACTCATTTTAAATTATTTTTTTTGGTAAATAAAATTTTTATTACCAGGGAAATAAAATTTATCGTTCCCAATTTGCTTGCAATGTTCACCTTGTTTGCACCTTACACATGTACATCTTGCACAATTGTTGTTGTTGTCGCACCTCCTTTTTCCCGCGCCCGCGGGGCGCGTGGGGAGTTTTCTCCAATTAAAGGACAGTCGAAACGGGATTTGTTTATTTGTTTCAGAGTCGCCACCTGGGAATTTTGAGGCGTCCCAAGTCACCAATTATAATCCCTGAATCGAGGAGAATATGACTCTGTTTATTTTTCTTCGAACCAAAAATCCTGAGTAAGGAATTCTGTTAATCCGGAAGAAGGTGTTAGACATTTCCGAATTCCGTGG